GGGCATGGAGGAGGGCACTTTGGGGATGAGCACTGAGTGTTATGTAGAAACTAATTTGACAATAAACTATTTGTAAAAAAAATAAAATAAAATAAATTAGTGTTTGACTGAAAAAAAAAAACAAGTAAAAAAAAAATAAAAAAAATAAAAAAAAAAAGAAAGGAACTGTTTTTAAGGAATATACACCAGGCCAGCAGTCTTGACATGTTCCTCTGGGACACCTTCACATTTCCAGATAATCTATAAGGCTCATGACAATAAACTGGGCATTTGCTAATTATTTTAAGGTAATTGCATTAATACATTCAGGTATTCATTAATTCTGAGATTCAATGATTCACTAATTCATTAATTCTACTTTCTGCCAACTCTCAGGTATTAGTGAATTTCTTACTCCCGTTGAAGGAGTTGGCAATTGACACATGGTTTTCCTGACATTTCAGCTTCAGATTGCCATTTTGTTTTCCTGTAATTCCATGTACACCTTATTAAAGTTCAATGACAGTTTTGGAGGAAACTTAATCAAGGCATTAGCATCCAGTTAATTACTGAGAAGAGAAAGTTGAAGAAAAATGGACTTTATTTCCTATCATGACATCAGATTCCCTCCCACCCACCTGCCCAGTGCAGGTGTGTATTTCTTTGGCACGGATGTTCCACCTGCTGCTCAGAAAAATCACAGAGGGATTCACAGAACATTCCAGAACTAGAGGATCAGGAGACTGGATCCTTTGCCTCCAAGTGAATGTCTGACTCCTCCTGGATAGACACTGTTCACTTTCTTCTTGGAACACCTTTGGAAACCAAAGCCTCACATCTACCTATAATCAATCATTCCATGGTCTTATCACTGATGAGCCAGAAGTTCTTTCTTTAATCAGAGTGAAGTCATTCCTGCCTTAATTTCTACCACTTATTTATAAAGGACCTTGGAAAGCCCTCTTGTGGTGACTTTCTCGTTTCCAAAATGATGGTCCTGGAGTAATGACTCTGTCAAGTCATAATTCTAAAGTCCAAGTAAAGTGCTTCACATTTGAGGGCTGCTTGATCAATGCTTCCCCTTTCTGTAGTGTTTTTTGTTTCAACAGTAGGGGTACAAGTGAACCAGCACCACGCAGGGTCCACTGCTAAATGTCGTGTCACCTGGGGATTTTCCCTGTATGATATTTATTTATATTTTAAAAATGTTTTAATGTTTAGTTATTTTTGTGTGTGAGAGAGAGAGACAGAATGCAAGCCAGGGAGGAGCAGGGGCGGGGAGGGTGGGGGAGAGAATCCAAAGCAGGCTCCAGGCTCTGAGCTGTCAGCACAGAGCCCGACGCGGGGCTCGAACCCACAAACCATGAGATCATGACCTGAGCTGAAGTCAGACACGCAAACGACTGAGCCACCCAGGTGCCCCCCATATGATTTTTAATAAAACAATTCTATGGAGTAGATACTATTATTATCTTCATTTTACAGACAAGGGAGCTGACGTTAGGAGGGTATAACACTCATTCAAGGTCACACGGATTTGGTAGTGCGCTTATTCTTCCTGCTGCCCAGTGGAAAACTACTAGGCCATACTAGGTACAGTGGGGTTGGTCTAGGGGAGGGGGTTGGAGGAAGCAGGAGGAGCCTCCACCCCACTGAAGAGTCAAGATGCCTTCACTAAATGCCTCATGCTGCAAGGTCACTGACGCTAAATGCTTCATAGCGTTTCAGGGGTACACGAGGAGATCTGCCTTTACTTTTGAGACTTGGGTTCCCAAAATGAGCCACAGAGCACTGACCCCAGGACAGCCTCCAAGGAAAGAAGGAAATAGTATTCACTGCACACTACCCTTTCTTAGTGAGTTATAATACACAATAGCACAGTCAAACCTCTCAGAAGTCCTGCAGAAAAGAACAACACAGAAGCTATTTATTTTTTAACGTTTCACTGGCAAATTTTCAATTAAATAGATTTTTTTTAAAAAAATGGGACCAAACAGCCTGGTAACGAAAATCTTTTTCTCCCAGGCCAGAAGGTAATTTTGTCACCCCTGAGGGTGA